TGAGAATGAGCCTTGGTTGGCCCGGAAAAATACCAGGCCACCCAGATATGTAAACAACCTACGCTACCCGGCCCGGGCCGACCCGGTACAGATGGGAATGGCCCATAAGAGCATTGTTTTCTGAAGAAATCACTTGTTGATAATTTGTGTAATTTCAGAATGCTGACTGTAACTAAGATAGTGGACAGGAAGGTATTTTCCACCAAGTGGGAGGGGCGGAGCTTAGGGCATTAAAGACAATGAAGGCAGAAATTCGAGAGAATCTTTTGGGACTGCCTATGAATGACTGCTCGAGGGCTTTGACTTTGTATTATTGTTTCTGCTTTTTACTATATAACTAAATTAAAGAGCAAGCCACCCCACAGACACGCAAACACACACCCTGCTCAGACGGAGAAATGTCAGCACGCTTCATAGTCTGGAGGATTTCTTTTTCTAAAATACACATCTCACCCTGATAAAGGTAGAAGTTTCAAAGATGAACACCTGCTGTAGCACAATCTAATTACAAAGCTGCATAAGCTGAACGCGTGAGCATGGATGTAATTTGGGGGGACAGGGGGGGCATGTCCCCCCCACTTTTTCCAAAGTCAAATTTTGACCCCTGCACTTTTTACCATCCAAAAACAATATTACGCTTTAACAAATAGACACTGGTTGAGCTCTAGGACCAAGCGGAAAACAACCGTTTGTGTTGAAGCCTCTTTCCCATTAGAGCATACTGTAAAGATACCCCCCGTGTCCCCCCCCCCGTGTCCCCCTCCCCCCACTTCTAAAGTGAAAATTACGTCCATGCGCGTGAGGCAGTCAAAGCATCGACATAAACAGTTCGTTCACAACGTTGAGAAATGTGCCACTCCTCTGACTCAATAACAGATAATCAAGGAGTGAAGTCACACAAATGGACGTATGAATGAGATTCACAGTAGGCTTTATTTCCATCGCATGCACTATTTAATATATTTTGCCGCTTTAGGAGACAACAGTGTGAAGAAGGCTGATTTATTGTGGTACGAAGGGCAACAGCCAGAGCATCGGACAGAGAGCAGAGAGCTCTGATTCCTTTGCTTTGTCTCATTTATTCAGGCAATCAAATCAGCAGCTGGTTGGACTTGTAAACAGCTCATATGAAGCTGGAGAAGAAGATGGACTCCTGCTCTTTCCTCCTAATTAAGTTTGAGCAAACAGCAGCTGGAGAAGGAACCGAAAGGTGAATCATTTTTCACCCACTCAAAGCATAAAATAGCACAGGGATTTGATGGTTCATTCATAATCATCTTCAACACACTTACAGAGATAAGCTGCACAACTGAAAATCTGCCACTTGGCTGCTTCTGCACGCTTTGTGCTTTTTTATTAATGCTGTTTCAGACAGGCACCTGATCGTTGTTTCACTAGTGCCAAGACTTTTCCACTGGGGGGGTGGGTCTGTCACACAAACACTCGTCAAATACAACGGGCCGCCTTGCTGCTAATCTACAGCACGGAGAAACGGGGCTGCTTCTGAGTCGGTTCTCCAAAGCAGGAGGTAAATGTAGATCGTGAACAGTTCAAACTGCAAACCACTTCAGTAATTAGACTCATTCCACTTTCAGTCCAATATAATTAGGAAAGTGAGTTCACATTAAGGTCATCAAAGCTACAGTGAGGTCAGAAGACCAATTTAAACCTTTTTAATAAAAGAAGAAACCCTGGAGAATGAAGATTTCTCATGTAGATGAACAAACTGAAGTCTGTCGGACAGATATGGTTTAAAGCAGTCAAGCTTTTGGTTCCTACATGTTCATGCCTCTCTAAGAGAATACTGATAGACTGTATGAAAAGCAGCAACAAGACCAGAACAGACACACGATTTGTATTTGAGGCCATTAGATTATAATTCGTAACTTTCACCAATGCCGGTTTTGAAACGGATCATTGGTGGTGATGCTCACATACTTGATTGGCCACTGGGACGTAATTTTGGGGGGGGACGGGTGGGACATGTCCCCCCCACTTTTTCAAAAGGCAGTTTTGGTCCCCTGCACTTTTTTCCGTCCAAAAACAATGTTACGCTCCATTAAATGGATTTGGTTGAGCACTAGGACCGAAACGGAAACCGGTTTCCTATTAGACCCGCCCAAAAGCTAATCTATTGGCTCTGCTGATACTAGTATTATTGGCTGTTGCTGCTGTCACTCAAGTTGTAAACAGTCAGAACGTGCTCACGTTGTTTTGCTAGTTTGGAGCCGCTAGGGAACACCGGTACTGAGTCACATCGTCAACTGGATGCTGTGTAATATCAGAGCTCAGCTCAGCTTCCATTACATAACATTTGAATAAGTGTTCATTTGTGAGTTTTTGGTAGTTAGATACAGCCAGGAGGCAGCATGTCAAGAAAACGAAAAGTGGATATAAGAGACTTCTTTCAAAGTCAAAACGTAAGTTGGAACATGTGACAGCCCTGCATTAAGCTCAGACTCACCTCCTCCTTCACACACATACTCAAAACTAACTTTTACAAACTCATCTCCTCCACATAACTGACTCCTCAGACACAATTTATTCGTATTATTATAATAATTATTTTTTTATTATTACTATTATCATCATAATTATTATTACTAGTAGTAGTAGAAGTGTAACTTCAAAACTTTTATCATTTAACTTTATTGTAAACTTATCTATTGCAATGCATATTTTCACATTAAAAAGCTCTGAAAAATGAACAGTATCATCATCGTCAACAGATTTTTTTAAGCTTAATGTCAAAGATGTACACTTTTCATTAGATTTATCTTATTTTTTCCTTTTTTTTTTGTGTGTTGAAATGCAACAACTGTTTAAACACTTTTAAGGGAAAAACATATTTAATATGTTTTTATACACTCAAATGTTAGGGTGATGATCATGTGTAAAACATTAGTTCAGCATGTCCTCTAACACAGCAAATGAACAAACGGCCAGATCTCAGGAGGGACCGTTTATGTATAAATAATTTTTATACTTTTGACTAGGCCTGGGAATGTAACACATTTTGCTGGACGATATTTTGTCCAACAAATTGTTGATGATAAATGATATCATTGTCAACATTATCTAGACCAAAATAACCACTAATATAATGTTAATATATCATAATAATGCAAGTACACCCTTTAAAATGCAACAAAGAAACCTTCATTTAACATTGAAATGTCCAGAACCAGAACTTCTAAATGAATAAAAATAACAAACAGGAATCTCACTCCCTGTTAGAAAATGTTGCACCAAAAACAATAAAAAAAGACCCAAAACAATAAATACAATGGCCTGTCCATTGTCAACAGCCAAAACTGCACTTCAATAAGGATGAAAAAATTATTGAGATGGGCACGTGACGTGTCAAGGGGTCTTTACATAACACCCCCCACCCCAAATCCGCACAAGCCTGCTGTGTCCCCCCCACTTCTGAAATCAAAATTTCGTCCCTGATTGGCCACCATTTTTTCAAGGACTTGAGATAAAATGAAAGAATGAAAATGGACTGGATGTATGATGATCTGAAAGGGCACCAAAAATAAAATTTGTTTACGCATTACTTTCTTTAAGGAAGCCATTTGATTGGATGGGCCCTTGCACACAGCCCACCCATAGCCATGCCCCTGAAACACACAAGTGCTCACATGGTGTTTTCACAAAGTCAAAGTCAGTTTTATTGTCAATTCTGCCACATGTACAGGATATACAGAGAAATGAAATTACGTTACTCTCAAACTCTCGCTAGATAGCAAATAAACATTTAGAATAAAAAAAACAAGTTCAGAGAGACTGTGGGGGGAAAGAGGGGAGGGGGGGAGAGACGGGAGGGAGTTTAGCTTCCTAACTGCCTGATGGATAAAGCTGTCCTTCAGTCTGTTGGTCCTGGCCTTGAGACTCCGCAGTCTCCTCCCTGACGGCAGCAGCTCGAAGAGGCTTTGCATTGGGTGAGTGGGATCAGCTGCAATGCGAAGGGCCTTTTTTGTGAGGCAGGTGTTGTAAATGTCTGGTAGGGAGGGGAGAGAGACCCCGATGATCTTCTCTGCTGCTCTCACTATACGTTGGAGGGTTTTAAGGCAGGAAACGTTGCAGGCTCCGAACCACACAGTGATGCCGCACGACAGGATGCTCTCGATGGTGCCTCTGTAGAAACTGTACAGGATGGGGGCTGGTGCTCTTGCTCTTCTTAGTTTGCGGAGGAAGAAGAGACGCTGCTGTGATTTCCTCGCCAATGCTATGGTGTTCTTCGTCCAGGAGAGATCCTCTATAATGTGCACACCCAGGAACTTGGTGCTGCTCACTCTCTCCACAGACACACCGTCGATGGTCAGAGAAGCATGCTGAGTGTGTGCTCTCCTGAAGTCCACAACAATCTCCTTGGTCTTCTCCACATTTAGAGAGAGGTTGTTGTCAGCACACCATGTGGTAAGGCGGCTCACCTCGTTCCTGAGTATGATGGACCAAGTATACTCAGGTGTTTTTGACTCCTAACCTGGGGCTGTGGTTGGCACTAAATACACCAAGGATTAATTATTACCGTGCTCTTTCCAGCAAAAGTTGCTACTGTTATATCCTTATGTTGTATTTAGGGCTGCACAATACAGTGATCCCTTGTTCATCGCGGTAGATGCGTTCCAGACCTGGCCGCGATAGGTGAAAATCCACGAAGTAGGGACACCATATTTACAGTGCAGTACTTTATTGAATTATCTAGGGATGCACCGATACCACTTTTTTTGAAAACAAGTACGAGTACGAATACTTGCATTTCAGTATTCACCGATCCCGATTTCGAGTACTTAATAAAATCATGATTTAAATTTACTGGTAACAGCTTTAGTCATATAATTTAACAAAAAAAAAAAAACAAGGCATTAGTTTGGAATTAAGAACATTTATTTAAAATGAAAACTGCAGCATCTTTTATGCAACATTTTAAGGAATAAATAATTATATTAAAAAAAAAGGTAAACATTGCAACTCAAGTTTTTTTTTTCAGTTTGTTGTAAACTCTGCCGCTTTGGACAACACAAGAGGCATTAATAAACATTTTTGCCATTTAGTGCACAATATCCGAATAAACTAACATCTACCAACATGGGACTCTGGCAGTCAGTGCAACTTATTAAAATAAATAAAATAAACTCCAAGACGGCTCACTTAATGGAGCCTATTTAGAAAAAGTGAGTGGCAGGTTTTTTTTTTTAAGAAAAGTAGCTTTTCTGCATTATCAGCAGTCAGCCTGTTTCTGTTTTCATCTATAATGTGTGACACAGAGCTAAAGAGCATTTCACTTTCCACACTGCTACATGGAGCTGAGAGGTATTTACGGGCCATTTTAGCCAAAGTGGGGAACCTGATTTTGTTGACGCCCCAGTACTTCAGAGGACTGTCTTCACGAGGGCTTGGGGCCTCTCCGAGGTATGTGTCGAGCTCAATGGCAGCTCCTGCTGCCAGCGGCTGTGCTGCTTGGGCCTGCTCCATGGCGATTTCTTCAAAGACAGTGTCCAGACTGCTGCTAGTGCTGGCCTGGGCCTTGAGGAACAGTTTAGCAGGAGGTTCTGCAGCTTCCGCCCGACTACCCTCTGACTCAGCTCTGGACATCATCTGCAGCTCCTGCTTCAGGTGCAGCTTGGCCTCTGAGGCAGTGTTGGTGGAGAAGAAGCGATCTTTATACCTGAACAAAATTAAAGAATTTATTAATATGTGGAAAAATAGAGATTTTAGTTTCCCCTAAACCACTGTCACAAATGACAGCTATGTGGCTTTCTGGGAGTAATATGGGAAAATATAGACTTAACCTTGGGTCAAGTATGGTGGAGATGAAGTACAGTGGGTTGGTCTCCACATCACTGAAGCGCTTCTTGACAGCTGTCAGTAAGGTTGCTTTCATTGTCTTGACACCGTGGTCCTCGTCGGTTTCTCTGTTTAGAAGTCTCACAAGCACAGTCACAGCTGGGATGACATCAGAGGCTAGTGCGTCGTAGCTGCTCACTTTTGTAGTTAGTTCCTCAAAGGGGGCAAGGATGGCAACAATCTTCTCAATAAGAGCCCATTGGTGAGCGGTGAGACAGTCAGGGAGTTCATGCTCGGACACATACACCCCCAGCACTCGCTTTTGCTCAATGAGGGACTGAAGCATGTAATACGTGCTGTTCCAGCGCGTCTGTACGTCCTGCTGCAGTCTCTTTACTGGCTGGTTCAGCTGTCCCTGAATGTCCTCGAGGCGGGAGTAGGCTAAGGCGGAATGCTTAAAATGCCCAACTATTTTTCGCCCCACTGCTATAGCATCAGCTATGCTCCTCTGTGCTAATAAGCCCTCGTGAACAGCCCGCTGGAGCGTGTGCGCGACACACGGCAGACTTGGGAGCCCTGCGTCATTCATGGCTTTAATCATGTTTTTGGCATTGTCACGAAGCACAACGTGTACTGATGTTTTAGGTATACCCCATGTCTGGAGCATTTCCTCAAACACATGCGCTATAGCCTGGCTGGTGTGCGAGCCGCGGAGTTGTTTCGCATGTAATGTGTCTCGTTGCGGCGTGAAACTCTCGTCTATCCACTGGGAAGTTAGGCTAATTAGCGACACGGGGCTAACACTGCTGGTCCAAATATCCGTGGTGAAACTAAACTCAGAGGAGGCTTGCAGTCGGCTGTGGATATATTTTTTCACAGAGTCGTGTAGTTTGGGCAGCTCTGTGTCAGTCATGTAGCGGCGGCTTGGGGCATCATATCTGGGCTCCAGAACGTGGAGGAGACGCAGGAATCCCACATTTTCTACCTCCGAGAGCGGCTGGTAACTCAGTGCAATGTACTCCATAATAGCTTGTGTTATTTTCACAGCACGTGGATTGTCTTTGGACATTTTCTCTCGTCTTGCAAGAGTTTGCTGCAGCGTGGGTTGTGTTGGTTTAGCATCGGTAAACTCTTTGTACTCGTTGTCGTGTTTGGATTTTAGGTGCTTTATTAAATTACTTGTGTTTAATGCGCTACCTTTTGCGCCTCCTCTGGACAATTTCGCCGAGCACAATTTGCAGTCCGCCTTTGTTTTGTCCTCTTCATCCACTTTGAAGTAGTTCCACACTGCTGACATGTTGTTTCATCCCGTGTCTCACCTCGCATTCTCCCTGCTCTGAGCTGCAGCTGGGACCCTGGGGGCGGGCACTCGGCAACTCTGATTAACCCCTTACTTGCTGCTCAAACATAGACATTTCTCAGACCGTGGTATCGGTCCCTGGCATCGAGGGACTTTTAACGAGTACGAATACTTGAGAAAATGTGGTATCGAGGCCGATACCCGATACCGGTATCGGTATCGGTGCATCCCTAGAATTATCGTATGATCACATTCTCTTTTTGTGGGTAAAACTCAAGAAAAAACATTTTTACTTGGTTTTTTTAATAGTTTTATTACAAAAAGTGAATTTTATGATGAAATTGATGAAAAAACAGGAATTTCTTGATATTTCGCATAGAAAAATTCCGCGAATCGGCGAATTTCCCTTGAATAAGGATCCAAAGAAAAAATCCGCGATAAACGAACCGCGAAGTAGCGAGGGATCACTGTATATTGCAAATATATCGTTATCGCGATAAGCGGAGGAAGACGACAACGAGTATTATGCACACATCTTGTGTTTCTTCTCTTTCTGTGTGCCGTTCTCTGTTGTCCGGCTCAAAATTTACTGTTTGTTTCTTGAGTAAATGAGTTTTCACTTTAAAAATGTACCTTTCATTCTCGAAATTCCTTTAATTTCATCTATATTTGTCATTATTTTTTCTGGGCTTTCCTCAAACTGCATTTCTCTTTTCTCCAGATCTTGTGTTTTCCTTTTCAAATATCCTTTTTCCTCCTGGAATTTATTTATCTCACCCTTAAGTGTGACAGTGTTCTTAGAAATCTGAATAAGGTTAATACAAGGATTTTAATGACAATTTTACATCCCACATCTTGATGAAGTTGGATGTGTCTTCGTGCAAACAGATACAACAGCACGTTGAACACTGACATCAGCCGGCATTGTGAGAACATTTTTTAAAATGTTTATTGGATTAACCAATCATGTATGGTATCTAAAATAGAAAATCAGATCAAAACAATAAAAACACTAACTTGGAGATCTTTAGTGGTTTTTGATTTGAGCGACGTGTTGCCCAGGGCGGCATCACGAGGTTGTCCCTGACTGCAGGACCCAACAGTGAACCTGGACGTGATGATATTTTCTATTTTCTGCTGCCTTGAGAACAAAACCAAATGGGATCGACGTATTTCTGCCTTCTACCACACAAACAAATCAGTGCCGAAAATTGAATTGCTGCTCCTTCACTTCTGTTTGAAAGACGAGCTGCTGTTTGTCTACAGTGAATTTTTTAATCTGAACAACAACAACAACAAATAAAAGCAGAACACAATCATGATGGGAGCCTGTCGAAGCGTCTGGATGTTTTTCAACTTTCATCCATCTTTGTTTAAGGAGAGATGCTCCCAGGTTTTAGATTTAGGGTTTTTGAGCGTTCTTGTTTGTTGGCTGTTTTCCTGATGCAACAACAAAGAATGAGACAACACTTATCAGTAACACAAAACACATTTCCATGTGAAAACATGTAAAAAATATTCATTTCTGTTTCCACAACTACTACTTTGTGCATCACTGTGTTTCTAGTTTCGTCTTGTTTCTGTCTCGTCTTTTATTTCTCGTAAAACATGCTTTTGTTATCAGCTCCACAGTTACGTTGTTTGCTGCTGCAAGAAAACGGTTTCCCCCAGAGGATCAATAAAGTATCAGTCCACCCATCTTCTTCTGTTTTGTGTTATTTTTGCTGCTTTTATTGCACAAGAAATCAGCGGTGGAGCCGGGGGACGCTAGGGGGCGCTATAGCTACCCCTGGATTAGTCATTGCACCCCTAAGTAAATATTAGATTTTTATTTTTACAATTTAATTTTAATTTAAAGTGTGGATGTGATAATATTTAACATACAAAACAAAAATTATCAGTAAATTATCATATAGGTAGTAAAATCCAAAACAGGACATTGATGTTAACCTTTGACCTCATTTTCCACCTGTGAACGAGTGAAAGGTAGAGCTAGTAGTAAAATGGATCAGGTTTTGTTGCCCACATTTCCACGGGTTCAGTCAGAAACGAATGAATCTTTGGAAGTGATCTCAGACTAGGGATGAGCGAGTACAGCACTATCTGTAGCTGTACTCGGAGTGGGTGTGGCCTAACCCGGAAGTGGGTGTAGTTTAATCGGAAGTGGGTGTGGTTTACATCAACACATTATTTTAAGTCTGATCAGAAGTTGCCATGTGTATTGTTTATTTGAAATCTATTTACAGAGCAGCCTCAGAGTTGAGATGAAATGTTTTTGATCACAATAGTAAAGAAATTATTACAGAACAAGTTTTTCAATAAAATCAGAACATTAATATTTAAGTGCATGAATTAAGAGAGAGAGAGAAGAAAAGATATTTTCTATAGCACCTCTCAAGATAAAAATCACGGGGCGCTTCACAAAAACAAAACATGTAAAATAGAAAAAGGAATTTAGAAAATGATTAAAATATGTTTAAAATGAGCAAAAAATAGAAAATTGTGATTACAAAATGTAAAGAGAGAGAGAGAGAGTGAATAGGAAAGAGGGAGTGGATCCTGAGGAAGAGGAGAGAGAGAGAGGAAAAAAAAACGACCGGAGCGGAGGCAGTGACTAACGCAACACGAGCCGTTTTCAGCTCTTTCTTGTCAAATGCACCACGTACGTTACGAATAAAGTAACTTTAAATAACTTTAAAGTAACTTTAAAAAGAAGCAAACTGAAGAAAACATAGGGAGTACTGAAGAAACGTGAACAGTGAAGCAAGCACAGAGAGATCCATTACTGTCTGTGTGTGTGTGTGTGTGTGTGTGTGTGTGTGTGTGTGTGTGTGTGTGTGTGTGTGTGTGTGTGTGTGTGTGTGTGTGTGTGTGCGTGGATGGACCGGAAGCAGACTGAGCTGTGAGCTCCCGGCTGCAGAGTTTTGTGTGTAGGGAGGGGCGGGCGCTCTATGTGACCGGCCAATCACAGAGCGTGAAGACAGTCAGTTACCCAATGAGGATTTTCCTTCAGCACGATTACAGAAATTTACGAGTTTTACTCGTTTCATGCTCGTACTCGTCAAAAATGCTTTATCCGCTCATCCGGCTCATCCCCATCTCAGACCCACAGAAACCTACGGATCTGGATGAAGAGAGTCAACCCTCAACCGCCGCAGCAGTCCAGGGTTTTGCCGCTGGAAATGCTAACGCTAACGTTAGCTAACCTTGCAACACTAGATGGTTTTCTGTGTGGCTGCATGTGTTTATGATTTCATGGAAAAGTCAGCGATTGTTCATATGTTTATGATGTATATTAATGATTGTTTCAGGTGTTGTTGAGGTGTTGTGCACGCATGTGTATCTGCTAGTGTTGAAGGTGTTTTAGAGAACAATAGGTACACATGACCACTTCCTTCATAGCACCCTCAATAAAAAGACCAGCTCCTTCATAGCACCTGCAGAAAAACATTTCTGGAGCCGCCACTGCAAGAAATCACATGAAGTTGTTCAGCGGTAAACTTTTTTTATTCAAATAAACTCCTGTAATATTGAATTTGTACAAACATGAACACACAGATAGTGATGGTTTAAAAAAACTATGCAAAGGTTAAAGGGCTGATCCATGGGGCTGGGTGGACGGCATGTTTGAGGAAAAATCAGCTGAATCTTTATCTCAGTCAAATCCTATTTGATGAAGAGATGGAGAGGAGTGAAGGGTGAAAATGAGATAAAAGCCATAGTTCAACTCAGGCTGGTTCGTGGATTTTAGCGAGAGTCATTCAGAACCAATAAAAATCCACAGATTTTGTGTCTCAGCGCAGCTTGCTTATTAAAACCAGGAACAAGCTCGCTGGTCTCATTCACTTAAAATGCACCGAGAAGGTTGAAATAGCAGGACAGACGTCAGACGTTTTTCTCTGACGGAGATCACCTTGACTGAAGAAATCTGCATGAAAGCTCGAGTCCTGCTGTTTGTCTCCTTGGGTGAAGCTTATGTTATATTCTGGAAGGTTTGAATACAAGGTGATGGAACTACGTCAGCCAACACTGGAGAAGCAATTAGACTTTAAAGGACTTGCTGTTTCAAAAATGTGCTGCATAAAAACATCAAGAGCTCAGAGAAATAAGCAACAAAGAAGTCACAAAGGTCCAGGGAGATCGGAAACCACAATGCTGATTATGACAAAGCGATAAGTAGGATTTTCTGCCCCAGTTGCCGTGGCAGCCAGGAGCAGCTGCAGAGGCAGGATAGCACTCGCTCAGCTACTGCAGTCCTCCATTCCCTGAGTCGGTCGATTATCAGTGACTCGGAAAGGCGAGGAAGATCCTGTTGGGCCTGCTGCCTGGCGCACGGCAGGGCCTCGGGAAGGGGGAAGAGACGGAGAGAGACGTGTTGGCTCTGTTTGGACACCAGTGGGTGCTTTAGGCCAAAAGAGACTGATAGACAAAAGGAAAAGCATCATAAATACTCAAAGTTTTTCAAAAGATGTTTTTAATTGAACTCAATTATTGTCTGGAGGCGTTGTTAAAGCTAGGGTGTGTAGTTAAAATGTTTTAAGTAACTTAAAAATACCTAAATGTGACTTCCTGACCCTGTTCTATGACATGGTTGTCTTTCAGAGTTAATAATTCACCTGAGTCGCTGCCTTGGCCAACAGAAAAATGTCTCGTTTACATGAGCCTAAAGCGCTGACCAACACAACCGTGTATTCACAAGACAGAGCTGTCAATCAGCATGAATGCACCCCAGCTCCCAGCATGCGCTACGGGGAAACACACGAGCACCTCAGTCCGGTTAGCACACCTACCTAGCCTGGATGCTAACTCGACCTAGCCTGGCAAGCCAGACTAAATAAATGTATTATTAGTCTGGCCACGCTCCATTGATGGCTCTCGGTTGTGGGGCGGGTTCTACCGTTGTCTTTCAAATGATCTCCACATTCCACTGGACAATGAATGTGACATACTCTTGTT